AGGCCAAGGGCGTGGAGCTGGAGCTGCGCTGCGGGCAGCGCGTTGAGGTGCACTGCGACAAGGAGGCGCGGTGTCGGCGCACGAGGGAGGCCGTTCTCTCGCGGGCGCAGAGTCGTGGGTTTTTTGGGGGGGGGGGGTGGGGGGGAGTGGGGGGAGAAGGTCCTGGTGGTTTCCTGGTTTTCGGGTGGGCGGCGTCCTTTTGTGTTCCTTGCAAAGCGCGCCGGCGCACCTGGTGGGGTCCCACCTTAAATGTCCTAGTAGAGGTGATGCTCCAAGTACTCAGTTTAGTGGCGTCCTCCATTTTGAGGGATGAGCGAAGGGCAGCCGCTGGGATCCCTGCACCCCGTTTGGTGAACTTGGCTCCATGCAAACCAACTGCAGTTTGCACAGAGTTTAAAGGGTTGGCGGCTCACCAAGATCAGGTGTCTTTAGTATTCCAGTGAGTGTGGCTTCTTTCTTCCCCCATACTCCCCTCCCCTGGCCTCTCTAATCTCTCCCAGAAAAAGCAGAGCCAACATAAGGCCTTGATATCACAAGCTCCAGGGGAGGTATTTGCCCGTCTTTGAGGTTTCTCCCCGAATGTGATGTGGGACCAAGATGCCCTCATCCCAACAGGACATGTCCTTGAACAATGTGTCCTTTTCACATCCAAAAGGAACGCCCGCCAACATGCCCTTATTTTTTGGTGCGAGATGTGGGCGAGCAGTTGGGTGATTGTTGGTTGCGTGGCTTGTTGGCCGTTTGGTTTGGCATGTCATTGCTCTGGTTTTCGAGCTACAGCTACCAGGTTGCCAGAAAGCAAACAGAAGCCTAGAGGTAAAACGACATTACCTTCGGTGGAAAGCACTGGGCTGGTTCTGGAAGTGAGGGAGGTAATGTCAGGTTACCCCATTTTCCTCGCTTGTAGTTTTGTGCTCCACAGCACCATGAGCATAGGTGTCCTTTTTAGGTGAGCCTGGATAAAAATAGATGGCACTGGTTTAGATGGTTTTTGTTCCCTATACCAGGGAAACCCATCTATTTTTCCATCAGGCCACCTATGACCATAACGTGGTGCGTGTTGCCCGGGTCTTTCCCCGGGTCGAACGAGGGCGAACCAGGATTGTTGCAATCTGATGGGAGGAGAAGCTGCACAAAAGCTTTCTCGGGTTCCGGCGGATCTGGCAGATGCATCACCTGGTGGTCCTTCCCCGTTTTTTCTTCTTCTTTTTTTTTGGGGGGGGGGGAGTGTCGCAGACCAAAAAAGAAATGTGTCTGACTTCTCCAATACATGTTATTTCCACATGTTTTGAGAGTGTCTTACTTCTCCAATACATTTCAGATGCAGCTGCAACACTTGCACTGGCACATGTGGATTCCGCATCACAAAGAAGAACGGGACAATCCAGATATGCAGTACTTTCAAGGTCTGATAAGTCACTCGGGTAAGGTCAAGGCTCCTTTGCCCCGCAGCGGCCACCCGCCCACCCACCCCCCGACCTTCGCACACCTCCCCCAACCCGAAGATCATTTCACCACATCCTCAAGGGGCCCACATTCTACCCCATGGGAGGTTTAGTAGAACCAAGACAATGTGTGGAGTAGGTTCTACTACCGTTTTAGTTGGGGATTTAACCTCTTTATATGTCAATGAACGCTTTCCTAATTTCCAAGGTCCAAGATGAATGAAGGGTCCGACCCACGGTGGTTCGTTGCCAACGACAGCTGTCTCATCAACCGATTCCCACTTCTCGTCTTTCGTTTTCACTTCATCCATGTCTTTGGAAAGTTGGAAACAGATCAGGATGCGCCGTGCGGTTTTGCTGTGCCAGGGGACCAAGGCAGCATGTTTGGAGTTTTTCCTGAGTGCTAGATGTTTGGAGCAAATAAATTAACTCATCAATCACCAAATTGCAGTGTTGAGTATTAAAACACGGGATAGTGCGCACTGTCTCGAAATAGGAATCGGAAGCCTCAAAACGGCTGGTTCCGTGAACCGAATTTCTGTGGGGATGCAATATGGACCGTGCGTCTTTGCCAGGGCTTCCTTCTCAACAAAAAGTTTTCCCCTCCCCCCCCTCCGCCCCCTCCCCAGCCTCAAGAAAGGGCCGAAACCTGCACAAAACCACCAGGGCCCAACATCACTCCAACCACCGGAAAGCCCAGCGCCAGTGCCCCGAGGTGATCCTGTCCTGTGGGGCGCTGCAGACGCCGCAGCTCCTGCAGCTCAGCGGTCTGGGGGACGAGGAGCTGCTGAGGACACCTCCGGACACGAGAAAAAGTTCGCCCCAAGCGGGTGGGTTTCTGTGGGCAATGGCCCCCCAACCACCGCAAGTTTCAGGCTGGTGAATTATGATTCACCCAGATGCCTGGCATAGAAAGTTACGTCCCAAGCCGACCCTTTTGACCTTCTGGTTTTCCTATGTTGGTCTGAGGTCGAGCCGAAAGGAATCGAGTCGAAGAATTCTGGGCGGGATCGCCCTCCTTTAGGTGGATGTTTTTGGTTTTAATGGCTTTCCACGGGGCTGCCCTGAAATCTGATCGCCTGAAGTAAACTTTCGCAGAGAAGCCAACGCCCACGCCTTTTCCAGGCTCGAAATCTGAAGCGGAAGGGCGGGGGTTCCTGGCGCGAATTTGGAGGGCACACCCCGGGATCGCCTCAACCACCCGCGTTTTTTTTGCCGGGCAAGGCCTTCCTTCTGCGATCCAACCTCCGGCTTTAAGATGTGCTGAAGCCAATATGGTTTGACACTTTTGGGAGGTTGTCCAGCATTTTGGACACCTCGACTTGTTGTTTTTCCGATTCGGTTCGGAGAAGAGCGCATCTTCAAATGGAGGAGCTTGGGCATTCCTTGCCTGCGGCACCTGCCGGAGATTGGCAGGCGCGCAAATCACGTTGCCCGGCCTGCGCCTTGAGGGAGGCCAGAGACAAAGGGGCGCACCCCGGGAGCAGTTGTGGGGGGGCTTTGGCCGGCTGTCTAGTTGGCGATCCTCAAAAACGAAAAACTCTGGTCATCGCCAAATCAGAAGAACATAAGGCAGGGTTTTGGTTTGGGAAGTGAGGCTTGCCACCTTTGCCAACTCCCGGAAGAGTGAATGTGCCATTGGTGTTCTCCTGATCTGGATCAGGAATCCACAGGCCTCAGGATAGACGGGGGTGGCTTCTGGCAGGATTTCGGGATCATCGGTTTTGATGTGTAAAACCAGGGGCTTCAACATCTGGCGAAACCTGGAGAGAGTACCAAAGCTACCTAGATCGAGGCTCCCCATTTTTCAAGGAGAGAGACCCTATCTCTCTGTCCAATGGAGTCTCTTTTCCATAAGCCCAAGCCAAGAGCGACTGCCATGCGCAGGAACCTCTCGGATCATCCCATTCTGCCGCAGCTTGGACGAATGCGGAGCGTGGGCTGTATCCATCACTTGGGTGATGCCCCCTCATTGGTTGCATGGGTTTACTGCTCCGGGGTCCCATCCAAGCGGGTACCCGCAACCTCCCGACCTGAACAGCTTCGGTGCTGTTTTTCTGGTGCAAAGTCAAGGCAACGAGGCTGCCACAAACTCTCAAAGCTGCGGAGGTCCCTTTTTGGCGCCGGGGCAACGCCCCAAAGAAAAACCGCGAGAGAGAGAGAGCGAGAGAGACGTGGGTATTTCGTGTCCACCGCGCGCCGCCGTTCAGCCCGCGCCCGCGCGCGGGGCGCGGCTGCGCGGCTGCGCGAGGCTTGGCTTCAAGGTGAAGGCGGAAGCGCAGCTCTGCGGCTCCGGCCGGAGCCAGGACTCGGAGGGATTCGGCGGTGTTCGCTTGCGCCGGGGGTGGGTCAAAGTGAAAGCGGGGCCGCAGGCTTGAAGTTCGACCAGTCCATTTTGGGTAGGTTTTGACCAGCCAAATGGGTCTTTTCGCTGGACTTTTAAACATTTTCAGACCGGTCTCGTTGTAAAGAGGCAATCCACTCAGGAAGTGAGGAGTGCCCACTTTGAAACTTGGGGAAATCCAGTACTCTTTGCTGCTCGCATCGCGGTATCGCGGTATCTTCCAGTCTTCCAGTTCGGATCCACGCAGCCAAAGAGCCACATGTCGGTGAAAGTCTCTTTCCACAAGCAATTGGCAATTGATTGGAGGATCCATCAATGTCGTTTCATTCCCTAAATTGGAGCTTTCCTTCCCCTTCAGTCAGCGACTGTCGCCTTTTTGCGTGCTCGACCCATGGGCCAAGTTCCGGCAAATCATACTGTAACGACCATGGGGCCCAAGCAGAATCAAGAAAACATGCAGCCAGCAACAAGCCTCGTTCAAGGGGACATTAGCTAATCAGGCCCCAGATTCCTCATGGTCCCAATGTTGCGATTCAAACTCTTCAGAACCCCAAGAGGCAAGAACCCTCTTGGTGGGAGTGCCCGGTTCCTTCATGCCAAGTTCCAGTATCGGCTCTACGTGGATGGACAACAGTCCGTTTCGGAACCGGTGGGATAAAACACCTACCAACTGGTGCACAATATTGTCCATCCGCAGTACCTAAGCATGGGTGTGTCTTTGTTTGGGGAGACCTGCTTGGATGTTGGTTTTCCTTTGTGGTTTCCCTTCAAACACCACAACCAAGCGGGTTGCACATCCCAGAAACGGTCTTTACAGGATGCCTGCGGGACTCATGCCGCCTACTTCTGGCGCTCGGGCACGGGGAGCGCTGAACGCCACTGAGTTCGAAAAGGTACCGATATGGCTGTTGGTCAAAACCGTTTTGGGATCCCATTTTGGTTGGTAGGTGAATTCAACACCAGTGGGGATTGAATCGGATGTTCACTCGGGGTACGATTTGGGTTTTGACCCATGGCCAAATGGGTATGGGTCAAATGAACCAAGGGACCGCAGGCTTTAGTCCTTGGTTTCATCTACCAGGGTTCCAGTTTGGGTAGCTGGTTTTGACACACGCCCATATAGCAGCTGTTGACCTTAGGAATGACGGTTTCCAACCAAACCTTTCAACTGGAAACTGGAGGTCACAGCGCCACGAGGCGCCTGGTACGAAATGACCGCATGGCTGCAAATCCCACTGGCACGGCCGCGCGCAATGCACAGCGGGCTTTTTCATCACTTTCCAAAACTACTTCCAGGAGAAGCAAAAGAGAACATCATGACACAAAGAGGCATTGCAATGCTTCCAGACACTTCCCCGGGCTTGGGGTATACAAGCTCTTGCGCCACGCCCATTGCATGCATTCAGGCATTGGAGACGTAGCCTGTCATTCACGACACCTTCGCCATTCACATAGACTGTCTTGCGAATCTGCTTGGAACAATGCCTTTCAAGCTTTTCAGCATCAAGACACAGAGTTCCGCCTTTGCGCGGCAAGGATGTCTTTACCTTGCAGTGCACTTCTTTCGCGTACTCTCTGTTCTGATGCTTTGGCCGTGTCATCTGACCCATAGGCAGCAGCTAGAAGTGAGTGCATGCTGTCTAAATACAAAGTATCTTCTTCCGTGAACACACGTAGCTCTATAGGCAACGCATGGGGCGGGCGCCTTGCAATCTTCAACAGAACAAATGTCAGAGCGAGTAGCACTTCCGGAGCAGCCAACAAAGAGCAAAACTGCCTCTGGCTAACAAGGACGCAAGCGATTTCAGAAACTGCCCATGCGCTCAAGTGTCCTAAGAACGCAGTCGACCAGTTTGCCCCCCCCCCCCCCCGCCCCATATTGTCATGGACATGGAGGAAATCATGGAAAGGTGCGAAAACACCAGGCGCCTGTACTACTTGCAGTGGAAACTGTTCAACCAGAAACGCCATCCAAGGTTAAAAGCACCTCACTACCTGAGTTCTAAGAAACGTTATACTTGTTCAATGACATGTCGGTTCCGATTTTTTGGGCAAATCCGTTGAATGGAAGCGAGTCAGCAAGTCTACCTTTGTTTTTACAAAGTGCCAATCTCCACCAGTTGGTTCATACTATGATTCATGTTGATGGAACGGTCATCGGTGTTTGGTCCTCTCTTTTGGGAAATCCGTCCCCCCTCTGAAAAAGAAGAAGAAACAAGTTGAACACCGATGTTTGTTGAGCCAAAGCAATAAAGTTCCTAGTTTTATTTTGAGCCACACCCATGGGTTGCTTGTGGGTTGCCCGAGGAAAGTCTGCAGATCTGGAGACGCTGCTGAACTCCCGGATTCAGCCCAGCCTGCAGCTTGAATGGGATTCGTTGGAATGGAACCCAATGAGCTTGCACGCAAGTTGCATCTGGGGTTCTCGAAGTCAAATCAAGGGTGGAAGCATGAAAAAACAAGACTTACATGGTGTAAACTCTCGCCTTTTGGCCTTTTGGCATGATTTGACACCGGAAATTGCTGGGCGTCAACACAGAGGAACATGGGTCGGTCTATGCCTATGCTTGATTTGGGAAGAACATGGGAGAACTCAAAACGTTTCTCATAGCCAGGGGACCCACTAGTTTGCCCACGTTTACGGGAAATAAGTAAACAACATCAAAGTTGAGAAACATTCAGAAACCGGAGAAATCAGACAATTATTTGGTAGAACAATTCTGATGGTCCTGTTTCAATACCGAGATACACCCCACCTACGAGGAATCAGGACGGAAGGTGGGCTATGTCCAAAGGGCTCCTGTTTACTACATGCCCCAACCAACGTGAGTTGTCTTGGTTCCTAGTTCTTTGCATGGATCTTTAGTTGTTGAGGTTTAGACATGTTATTTTATTGTTGCGAGAGGTTGCGGGAAAGTTAAATGGCAGTTGCAATGAGGCCTGCTGGGTTAATTGTGAGTTGTTGGAGGTTGGGGTGCTTGTGTGTGTTTTGCGCATCCCACCAATTTGGACCAACAGTTCACCGTTAAGCCCCGGAAACAACGAGCCACTAAGGTGTGCGTCTCTCTCTCTCTCTCTCTCTCTCGTTAAAATCAGTTGTTGCTTTGACTACAAGTGCAAGTGGTGTTGTGTTGTCACAAACATAAACCAATGTAGTCTGCAGCTGCCAACCTTTTCACTAATGCAGTCGTAGTAAGCTCAAGGCCTGCAGTAGTGTACATACATGCAACACAAGTGCAAGGAGTGAAGCATGTAGTTTGACACGGCCCCTCAGTCAAAAGGTCTTTGCTGTAGTACCTTTTCAGCTGGAGTGGAAAACAGAGATTCGCAGTAGTGATGGAAACCATTGTTGTTCATCAATGCTACTGTAGTGACAAAAAAGGGTAGGTGCTGCTCTCAGTAGCTCTCGCTGTTCAAGGTCCAGTACAAAGTAGTGCAAGTACTGGATGGAGTTCGTGAGGCAGGTACCTAATGTAGTTGAGCTCCTAGCTCAGGCATGTAGTGCCCAATGCTGGGCCCGGTAGGCTTGGACCATCTGTAGTCGATTGTCCAAGGATGCAAAGTAGTTTTTGGTGAAGTAGCTGGTCATGTAGTTGGGGGCACCGCGTAGTTTGTCATCATCAATCTCTGGACTTGCCATATGTCGATCGTAGTCTCTGAGAAAACGATGTAGTTGAATCTTGTCTTGTTGTGTCAGGTTGGTCATTGTCAGTAGTGTGAATCCGTAGTATTGAATGCTTTTGCAAAGAACTGTAGTGATGGCTTTGTGTTGGAAGTCATGTAGTTGGTCGTGGTTGTTGAGGCAGTGAAGGAGGTCCGGTAGTAGCAGTGGCATGTGGTAGTTCCAGATGTAGTTGCTCTTCAAGCTGTAGGTGTCGGTGAAAGTAGTCATGTCGTAGTCCACCTTGTAGACAAGTTGTGAATGTTGTGTAGTTGGGAGGTAGAATGTATTCTGGATGGACACCATGTAGGAGATGTAGTCCCTTGTGAAGTGGACAAATTGTCCAGAGGTAAGATACCTCAAAAGTAGTTCTTGTTCAACCTGTAGTCGAACTATGGCGTAGGTGTAGTTGTTGCCAGTTGTAGTGCGCATTGATGTTGCGTGGTAGTAGTGTACGTTGGCTGCCTCAGGTAGTGAGATGCTGAGCAGTGTGGAATTGTAGCATGGCATCCGTAGGTCTCCTGGGATGCAGTGAATGGGTAGTGGGTAGTCAAGTAGCGTAAGCGCAGTGAAGAGTTGAGCGTAGGGAGTGTTGTTGTGTAGTAGTGGCGTAGGTGTAGTCTGGTACTCCGTGAGGTGTAGTTGCTCCATGATGGTTGCCGGGTTGTAGTAAGGAGTGGCGCCAGGCGTACTGTCAGGCGTAGTTGCTCCTCCCATCGTGTCGACGGTGCGGCCATTGCTGCAGTTGGATTCAAATGTAGTGAGACGGGGCAAAAGGATGAGCCTGAGTAGTAGCTATCAGGCAGGCGGCGCATGCAGACATGTAAAACAAACAGCTGTATTGTTGACCCAAGCCGCCAAAAGTGCAAGTGAAATGACATGTAGATACTGTCACTTACATACCAAACGTGTCGTGTTACATGTAGCTACTTACATACAAAAACTGTTCGAAGTCGTTGTTGTTGTTGTTGTTGCTGCTGCTGCTGCTGCTGCTGCTGCTGCTGCTGTTGTTGTTGTTGTTGTTGTTGTTGTTGTTGTTGTTGTTGTTGTTGTTGTTGTTGTTGTTGTTGTTGTTGTTGTTGTTGTTGCTGTTGTTGTGAAACATTGTGCTGGTCATTCGTAGTGCTAAATGCGTATCCCAATGCTCTGGATGAGCCTGTGTAGTGTTTCCTTCCTGATGTGTTTGGTAAACAAATCTGCGCTGTTGTGAAGTGTGTTGATCTTAAGGATTCTGATGATGTCGTGTTTGATGAGGTCTTGTGTGTAGAGAAATTTGAAGTCGATGTGCTTTGCTCGTTTGCTTGCGCCTTGTCGTGTAGCAATGCTCTGGCCTGCTGTGGAAGTCTGTGTGGATGCGTAGGTTTAGCTTGCTGCATATGTTAGTCCCTCATTAACTCCCGCGCAAATGGCATAGAGTTCAGACTCTGCTGAGCTGAGTGCTACTGTAGCTTGTGTTCTGCTGCCAAATGCAACTGTTGTTCCTAGAAAGATGATGTTGGAACCTGAAGTTGATTTTCTGGTAGTAGGGCATCCTGCCCAGTCAGCATCTACATGAACGTCGAGATCCAGGACGTTGTTGGTGTTTGCTCTGAGTGTTGTTGTCGGTTCTATGGTGAATTTGTAGTGTTTGGTGCCATGCAAGTAGCGTAGTAAATGTTTGACTCTCTTTTGTGAAAGTTCTGTAGGTGCTGTGAGGTCTCGCGCTGGTTCTTTTGTAGCGCATGCGATGTCTGGTCGTGTGTATGCTAACCATTGAAGTTTACCAACAATCCTTCTGCACCTTTCGTGTTGTTCGTGGTCAAGAAGTGCTTCATCCTCTATTGTTGGTTTGTAGTTGGCGATTCCTGGAGCGGTCGCCGTGTTGCAGTTGGTCATTCCAGTCTCCTCGGTCATGTTGTCGATTTAGGAGTCCTTTAGTCCCAGGTTGCAGTAGTTGCCGAAGTGGTCGATGTTTCTTCCCAGGAATTGTTGTGGTTTGCCAGGCTCAAAGTAGCCAATGTGCTTGAGTAGAGCCTGCTTCTAAGTACGAGTAGATCGTCCACGTAGACCATGATGTAGCAGTCGCGAGTCGCATTGGTGTAGACGTTAGGTTCTGACTTTAGTCTTACAAAGCTGAGCCTTTAGGTGAGCTGCGTAGTCCACACATGGCTTTCTTTAGCCGCCATATTTTGTTCTGTTGTGGGCAAAGTTCTTTAGGTGGCCAAAGGTAGACGTCACGTTGTTTACCGCCGTGGTCCTTTGCGATGGGTGCGTGTAGAAATGCTGTAGAGACGTCGCCTAGTCGCACGATCCAATTTGGTCGTGACATTTGTAGTGCGAGAAGTGTCCGTAGTGTCGTGAACATTGGTGTAGAGGCGTAGACGGAGTCTTCGTCCTCAATCTTCTCAGTGTAGCCTTTTGCGACGATTCGGCTTCGCACTCCTGGATCTTTCTTTCTGTGGACCCATCTTGTAGGTATTGCCTCTCTGATGATGTTGTCATCGACTGTAGACGCATCTACTTCGTCGTAGACGTCATGTAGTTTCATTTGGTTTGACTCGTGTTTCATTCCTTCCAGTAGTTGTGTTTCGTCGTAACCTTCGTTGTCGAAGATTATAGGTTGGTTTTCGGAGCTGTCGTCGTTTGTGTAGGGAGTGATGGATGTTCCGTTGAAAAGCGTCACTGCGTTGATTTTCTGTCGTAGTGGTTGTGGCTCTTTGGTTGCTTGTTCCATTGATCTGATTGTAGTGTCCTTTAAGGTCTTCTGCGCTTTGGTTGGTTGCATTACTTCTTCCGGAGTCAAGCATATTAGTGTTTGTTGAGGTGATGCTGGTAGTGGTGGATGTTGTCGTCCGGTTGGTGAACTAGCCATAGCGCTATCCGGTAGTGGCCGTGAACTTGACGCCGATGTCGACGGAAGTTGTGGAGGTGGCATAGTGTGTTGTTGTTTTGTTGCGGGTTCCACGACGATGTCGTCCGTCACGTTCGTCTGTTGTCCGAAGTCTTGCGTAGACCGTCTCTTCTCTGACGATTGTAGTTGCGTGTTGCACATGACGCGTTTTAAGTGTTCCGTCGTGGCGCCCAAGGTGTGCCGGAAACTTTGTTTAACAGTACGAGATCGTGTTTGAGGTCTGGTTGTAGTCTCCGTACCGTTCGTACCTGTTGTACGCCTGCTTATTCCGTCGCGTCGTAGTTTTCAACGGTTTCGGAAACTTTTCCGAGCCAGATGCATTTCTGCATCCGCAGGTCTGCTTTTGGAAGTTTCTTGTGTTGTGGTGGAAGATAAAGTAGTGTCTCGCCAAATTCGCAAATTGCTCGCTTGTAGTAGTTTCTTCCCCAGCGGCGTTCGAAGCTTGTGTAGCCGTCTGAGTGGATGACGTGGCGATTTACCGCCCATGCTGCATGTCGTACTATCCAGGGTAGTAGACAGTGCTTTGTGGACATTGTCGTGCTGTAGTTGCTCTCAACCTGTGCTTTGACGACGCGTACCTGTCCGAGGAGTGTTCGGTGTAGTCGCTCAACACTTCCTTGACTGTTGCTGCTGTAGGAGGGTGCATGTCAAACAGTCATTGAGAAGCGCGTTGAGTGTATCCTCGTTGTCACTTTGTAGTATGCCTTGTGTTCTTCCGCGCTCAAAGATGAATGCTTGTAGGTTGTTGATCATGTAGTCCACCATCGATGGTTTGTCCGGGACCATTACTGCCATACACAGTTGTGTAGTAACATCAACTGCTGTCAATACTGGTATGGTCTTTGGATCTTGTTATGATTTGATGTAGGCAAAGTCTACTTGAACGACGGGTTGTCGTGATTGTTGTTTCTTGTAGTTGTCTTGGCGTCCCTTGCCTTGCACGCAAATTGGACACCAATTTCTGTATGGTAGGTGTGTCAAATTGTGTTCTGCTATTTGTTGTGGGGTTGGCTGCTGTGGTTGTCGTAGTCCTCTTGCTCTGTGTGCTTCATGATGCTCGTGTTGCTGTTCCTCATCGTAGTTCTCCTGGATGTACTCGTAGTGCTGCGTTGCCCATGACTGTCCAGTCATCTTTGCGTTGTGAAACTTCTCCAAAGTTGTTGTGAGTGATTGTAGTTCTGTGAGGCTCAAGTGTGCTGATTGGTGGATGTCCTGGTCCATCTGTTGGAGTAAATAGGGTAGTCTGAGTGGTGTGTGGTGTCTTATCCAGTGTTTCCCAGTAGTCTTGGTTGTCCTCCTGTGCTGTGAGTGGTCTGTGTAATGTCTCCTTTAGTTGTGTGGTGTCAAGGTCTGTAGAAGGTGCTGCTTTAGGTCTCCATGTTTTTTGCGGTGCTCGTAGTTGAATCTTTGATCTTGTTGGTGGTGTGTCCATTAGCCGTTGTGGTTGTGAGCTCTGCCTTGTTGGTGTGGTCTTTGAAGTTGCTCTGCTTGTAGGTGTTATTTTTCTTTTGAGTCTGGTTTGTCCAGTCCAGTTGTCACCTTCTAGTCTTCGTTGAATTTCTTGCTTGGAAAGTTGTTTTGGATTCTCTTGTAGTTGTTCCTGCTCTTGCCCTTGTCTGTTGACGATGGTTAGTCGCCAATCATCTAGTTCTTCTTCTGGTATTGGGCAGCCGCTGTTGTGTGGTGTAAACAGTGCTTTGCGTGGTTGTTTGTGAACTCTGATGGCGTAGTCACCATCAAGTATCCAGTAGTCAGTGTTTCCACCAAGGATCTGTCGCAGTCCTTGGTCTGTGTGTGTGAGTGGTGCAATTTGTTCTTGTTGTTGTTTTGCTTTCTCTGTAGGTTGAATCACGGCAATGGATTTTCCATTGTCTGTAGTCATTGGGTAGATGTCGAATCCTGTAGGGATATCGATCTTCTCTGCTCGTAAGTAGAAGAGTCCTGAGTGTCTTATGAGGTGTGCTTGTTGTGATCCATGTGTGATGGTGCAGTGTCGTGGATTGAAGTCGAGTCCATATCCTCTGTCAAGTAGTCTTGATGCACTGAGGATTGGATACTTCACATCACAAAGGTAGTAGGGTACCATGATCCTGAAGTTGTCCTGCTTGTAGGGAACATACTTGATGCCGTAGACAGGAATCTTCTCATTGGTAACCGTGTAGAGTTGTGGAACTGATTCTCCACAAGGTCGTAGTAGTAGACCTGGCGCGTAGTCTTTCGGGCAAACATGTGTCGATGCTCCTGAGTGGATCAGCAGGTGATGGTATGCTAGCACATGAAGTAGTGTGTGATGGTGTCCTCAATCTTCTTGTTCCTTTGTTGTTGTGTTGCTGCTGCTATGTCGAAGTGCAGTGTATTGTGTCTTCTTGGAGGAGTTGTTGAAAGCTCTTGCTGTGGTCGTTCCATGATGTTGCGTGTGTTGTTTTCTTGCCGAGTAGTGGCTTGGATTTGTGCTTATGTAGTAGTGACTTTCCTTGTCTGATGTGTCCAATGGTGAGGACTCGTTGATGCCTCCAATGTAGTTTGCTGTGTCTTCGTAGCTGTTGTCATTGCAACCCCAGCTGTTGTCATAGTCGTAGTCGTTCCAATTCTCGTCCATGTAGTTTACCTCGTGTTGTCCTTCTTCTCCTTCGTAGTACCAGTCCCAGGTGTCGTTCACATCCTGAGGTAGTTCTTCATTGTTGTCCTGATCTGCTTGTTCTTGTTCTAGCGGATGTGGTTCTTCTCCTTCTCCTATGTGCCATACCTGCAGTCCTGGGCCCAATGGCCAGGCTTGCCACATCGGTGGCATGTCATGTAGTTGTTGCTTTTGCTTTCGCTTTGCTGTAGTTTCCTTGGCCTTTGTAGCCCTTCCTTGATCCATATCCTTTGGATCCTGAGTAGCCTTTTCCCTTGCTCTTGTTATACCCTCCTTTGCTCCTGTACTTGCCTTTGCCTTTGCTTCCTTTGTAGTGGCCTTTGCCTTTTCCTCTGCCTTTGTAGTTTCTTCCTTTCCTCCAGATGTTGTCAACATCCATTGGTGCAGCTCCTCCATTGTAGTTTGTGCCGACTGCTGAAGTCGATCTTGAGCAAGCTGAAATCATCTTGTAGTAGCCCAAGATGACTGCGCTGATCTTGATGTAGTTCGTGATCTGTCCAGCTCGCAGTTGGAGGTGTTGCTGCAGTGCTCCTTTGGTCTTGTTGAGTAGTATTGCGATTTTTATTGTATCTGGTAGTGCTGTGCCGTTGTCTTTCTCGTAGCGGTTGATGTCGTATTCCCCTTGTTGGAATTGCTCTTCCAACTGCGCTTCATTGAATGTAGGTTCCAGTAGCTTGGTAAGGTAACCAACGCTTCTTGTTCCTACTGGTAGGCTAAACCTGTTGTGCAGGAGTCGCAGTGTTTCACATCCATTTGCGTTGTAGCGGTTATGCCTTACTACTGTAGCTGCTGCTCCAGTCTCTGAACGTCGTTGTCTTGTTCTGTTCCCTGCTCCCGTAGTCGTGGCTCCTACTGTTTCTGCTGTTGGCCCGTTCTCTGCTCCTGTAGTTTGTTGTGCTGAAGCTGATGCTGCTTCTCCTGACATGTCGTAGTAGTTTGGCATGTGATTGCTGTTGCAGTTGTTGTAGTACTTACTGCTGAATACAGGAGCTCCCCTATGTTTAGGATCTCTGCTCCGCTACCACGTTAAAATCAGTTGTTACTTTGGACTACAAGTGCAAGTGCTGTTGTGTTGTCACAAACATAAACCAATGTAGTCTGCAGCTGCCAACCTTTTCACTAATGCAGTCGTAGTAAGCTCAAGGTCTGCAGTAGTGTACATACATACACAAGCGCAAGAAGTGAAGCATGTAGTTTGACATCTGTGTGTGTGTGTGTTTGTCCGTTTGTCCGTCGGTCGGTCTGTCTGCCTGTCTGTCCGTCCGTCTGTTGGTCGGTCTGTCTGTCTGTGTCAGCTGACCCAAGACTGGGCCTGCGAATCGCCCGGTTTTGTTTCTTTCTTTTGGTAACATTGCTGACCTCCCTTTCAATTGGTCCACTTTCCAGAAAGCCACCAAGATTCCCAGGAACCCAACTCTGTTTCGAACAGATCACTGGTTGAAAAGGATGGACATGTCTGGAGCATCTGCCAAAGCCCATTTTGTTAGATCGAGGTATCCCAAGATGACGGTGCTCCAGCTGCAGCGATGGTTTTCCCGAACCCCGGACTACCGCTCCTCCCCGCTCTTCGGCTGGCTGGCGGAATGGGCGCAGCTTTGGGGATGTGTCAAGGAGCTCTCTCTGGACCAGGGAACGAGCTATGCGCGGGGCGGGCAGTTCCCTCATTATTTTGGTGTAGGGAGTTTCCCTTGTGAAAAGGTGGGATTTCCCTTGGTTTTCTCATGGCCACTGTTTGTGTAGGGAACTCGTTTTGGAGAGGGAGGTCCCTCGTTCTTTTTGTTGGCAGTTTCCTGGTTTTTGCTGGTTGTGTAGGGACTTGCCCTTGGTCTTCTCAACCAACAAGAAAAGGTGGGAATTCCCTCAGTAACATCACCAAAGGGCACCGGTTTCGCATGGATTTACGCTGAGCAGCGTTGCGTCAAACTTTGGAGGGCGCCCCAAGAGAGCGTAAAATACCACGAGAGGTTCAACCGTTTTCTTGCTGGTTCATCCCCCATGGTTTGCTGGAAGTCGGTCATTCCCCACTGAGCACCAAGTTTTTGGAGGCACCCCGTTTAACATTAAGCTCCAAGACAGTTCCAAGCTGTTGTTGGAGGGCTTGCTTGATATTTTTTTTTGGGGGGGGGTTCTCGGAGTACAAGCGTCGGGATCGTCGGGGCGGACCACCTGTTCAGCAACTGCCGGCGAGTACTGAAGTATTCTGGGTGAAAGAAGGTCCCTTCTCAACAAGGAGATGATGATGCTTCACTGTTGTTGGCATGCTTCACTGTTGTTGTGTTTTTGATTTTGGTTCTGTTCATGTATAGAAGGAGGCTGCAAGTTACTTTTTTTGTTGCTACCACACCGAGGATTGTAAAGAAAGCCTCATCACGCACCAACATGGAAAAGCATCGATCCAATGGCAACATCCAGCGACCAAAAGCCGTACGGAAACCTTGAAGGCAAGCCTGGATTCTCCGAAGCCAAGCTTCTGGCCCAAACCCCACCAAACCCGAACCCATATATAGCTCAATCCATGACAAAAAAGATGAGGGGAATCGGTCGGAGGAAAGTGACATGACCAATGAACATCCAAGGGATATGAGCTCAACAAGACATGGGTTTGACGAAGACAAACAAACGCATTTGATCAGCCCCCCGAGATATTCACCATTTGTTTTGGCTCAACAAGACAAAACAACAACAAACGCCACCCCCCAACCGTTGCCAGTTGCCCGACGGGCAGCACATGGCAGCACCGTAAGTCGGAGACGAATGGCTTGATGGCCAAGAGGGCTGGGGTGTGGCCATAGGTGTCCTTTTTAAGTGAGCCTGCTTAGAAATAGATGGCACTGGTTTAGATGGGTTTGTTTTATTTTCCAGGGAAACCCATCTATTTTTCCAAAAGGCCACCCACGGTGACAACTTCTCTCATGTTGCTATGGCAAAGAATAACAATTGAAGCTGATGACTCAACTAGGGTAGGAACAAATGGGGAGTTGGACACCAACTGTTCATCGGTTTTCCTTTTGGATTCCCATTAAAACATCCTTAAGATGGATACCGTGTAAGTCAACTTTAAAAAATGAAACTCCAAGCGGATGCTTTGAATCTGAGAGATCGCATTAAGCATTGCAGCCGATTTAGACATTACAACTCCGCCAACTTTCTTATGTGTTCTCTTTCTTGTGCAGAATTCTTCCACAGGAACCCATTGTCCCTAAAACAAAAAAAACACCGCCACTTTGGCGCTTTTTCGCCAGGAGCAGACGCCCAGCCACTGCACGCAGATGGCCAGGATGATGGAGCTGGTGACGGTGGTGAACCACCCCGCCAGCCGGGGCTCCGTGAAGCTGCGGAGCAAGGCTTGCGGATGGGCGGATGTCGCGGCAGGTAGACCTGAGCTCAGTTTCCGGTGAACAAAGTAAGTGGGTGTGTGCGAGTCCCCAATCTGTGTTTGACATTTCTTGTGAACAAAGTAATGTACATGGCGGATTGCTTTTTCGAACATTGTTGCTTGGAGGGAGCCTGCGACATCGCTGCCTGAGAAAATGTCAAGCTGCGACCTCACGGCCTGTTTGGTGTTTTGTGTGGGCGCGTGCTTCTTGTCCCCAATCTGTGTTTGGCATGTGTGTTTTTTCTGTGAGGCCATTTGAGCGGAGGGCAAAACCTCCCAAGACCAGTTTAGCAAGGGGGTGTAAGCATGTTGCAATTAAGCCCGCGCGTAAGCACGAAGCCTGCCATTGACCAAATCCTGACTAGGGCCACAGCGAGGTATCTCCAGAGGCGTTAGACCCACCACCGGGAAAAAACTAATTCTTTTTTGTGCTTGCTTCAAAAAACGCTCGTAGGGCCACGAACTAAATCGTTTTGCGCTTTTTGCCCAAGGCCGGTCAGTCTAAAGCAGCGTTCTTGTCAGCCAGCCGGCTATCAACAACCTCTTAGCTCAGTGGTTTTGCTCGCGGTCTTTCGGCCAAACCTTGTGCGTGCCTACCAACTAGTATTTGTAGCTTTTTACTACCCCGGATGGACTTCCAAAATCGGGCCACCACCAAGCCCAGCGACTTGCGGACTGCAGCGCAACACAAGAGGGATAACCTTACGCGTTGCTTACGCAGCTCTTACGCGGACCTTACGCCAGTTGGCTCTTGGGCAGCTTCAGACAAATATGCCAGCTGTGATAAGGGTTGCCCTGGTTAGCGCACGCTTAGTTCGCCAAGCCAAAATTGTTTCTTCCCGGTGGTGGCTCTAACTCTTTTAAGCGTTGGAGATACTTCACTGTGGCCCTACGTGCGCTTTTGGAAGCAAGCACAAAAAGATTTAGTTCGCCGAACTAAATAGTTTCTCCCGTTGGTGCCTCTATTGCCGCGCAGTTTGTTTTGAGATACCTCGCTGTGGCCCTGTCGGCGAACTAAATCTTTTTTGTGCTTGCTTCAAAAACGTGCGTAGGGCCACAGCGAGGACTCTCCGCTTAAAAGAGCTGCGCGGCAGGGGTGTGTTAGAGCGGCCGGTCAGTCTAAAGCAGCTTTCTTGTCAGCCAGCCGGGTATCAACAACTTCTTCGCTCAGTGGTTTTGCTTCCCGCGACCCTTGCTGGCGCATCAAGGTCTCCCACCCACCGGGTGGCCTTTTCCCCACCTGGGGCCACAGCGAGGTATCTCCAAGGCTCAAAACAAAATGCGCGGCAGAGCCACCAACGGGAAAAAACGATTTAGTTCGGCGAACAAAATCTTTTTCCCGCTTGCTTCAAAAGCTGACAACAGTCACAGCAAGTCACAGACGGCTTTTTTTGGGGGAGCAGTGCAGCTGCAAGAAGCAAAGCTGGAGGTAAGGCCGCTCGGCAGCCTTTGCGAAAGCTGCGCGCAAGATGTGAGAATCCAAGTGCGCGGCGCGTAAGGTTTTTCGTGTGCGGCGTAAGCGACGCGTAAGCTGTCACGTAAGCTGCTTGATACCGGCAAGAAACACACGGAGGGTTTTGCCCTCCGCTCATTTGGTTTTAGCAGGACTGCGTGGGCATCACGAGCCTTGAGGCATTTCGACACTGAGGGGAGACCATCGCTGCAAAAGCTAGAGGCTTAGCCTATTGGGCTCAGTTCCATTTGGGTGTGGCTCAAAAATTTATGGGCTGGTGTTACGCAGGTGTTGGCCTTTGCTTTCATTGACCCAGGGGCCATTTTGGGGATTCCATTTTTTGAGACACCGCCATGTGGTTTTTCAGACACCACGGCTGCAGAAAGCCACCAGGCAGAACGCTGGGGCCTGGTTTCTGCACGCCCCGAGTCACATCCATAGGACCCCCACGAGCCGCCGCTGGTGGATCCCAATTACTTGGCGGAGGAGGCGCCGGCCCCGCCGGCCGTGAGATGGGACGTCATATCCCGTTTGCGCCTTATACTCAAGGGGGCTGTGGGTCAAAAGTAGGTATCAAAAAGGGGTTTCCCTTGCAACTGGAACCAAGGACTAAACCTGAGGTCCCGGAGTCGAATAAGTTCCACCGTTTTCTCTGGCAAACTGCAAGTCAACATCCTCCATTTGTTGCTTGCCTGTCTGCCTTTTTTGGAGTCTTTACATCCATACTTAGGGCAAGCACATCCTGGATTGAAGATTGAAGATCATACTGGTGTCCTCCAACACTTGATGCTCGCTAAAAGTCACTGTTTTTGTTGAATAATCCCGACCCTTGACCCCCAACAGGTGCCCCAGAAGGGTGTGCATGCATGTGATGTTAGAGGCCCCGTTGATTGCACGTTCCAAGACATGTCGAATGCGAATGTGCATTTGGCTCAAGTATCAATGCCCATCATCAAAACAGGGTTTGCGCTCGCCTACCGGACTGGGGTTAATAAAGGTCCCGGTTTCTGGTTCGCCGTGTTTCTTTCCCTGTTGAGTGGTTATCAGCCGTAACTACTTTTTGGGATTAGGCCCCTCAGTCCGGTAGTCAGTGCACTTCGTGGATGGACCCGGCTCCGGCCTTCTTGGCCCGAGGACAGAGGGGCGGGTGGGTTCACCGTCGAAGGCTTTACTACGAGGCCTTCGACGCGCTCACCCGCAGTTTAAGGTAGGGGTGGCAAAAGTCTCCTGGGAGGAAGCTTCGGACTTGCACCGGAGCTCCCTCCTGGCGTGGGCACGCCGATTTCACCCTTTACGACGCCGTCGTTGCCCAAGGCCGACATCAACCCATCCCACTCTTGCAAAGGGCACAGGCCGCAGCTCAAGGCGCGGCAGGGCAGGCTCCCGCACCAGCTCAGCAACCGAGCACCCCATCAAGTCCATCCTCAACCACAACTGTGTCCACCATCAAGGCTGCAGCTCCAAGCGCGGCTCCAACCAGAGCCTCCCACTGAGAGCCCGTCCCGTCGGCCCTCCTCCTACCCATCAGCAAGGTTGGGTGGGAGGAGGTAGCAAGGCGTCAGCCTACCTTTGTGCCGAGGCGCCCAAGATCCAGAACACCTCTCAGGGCTGCAGAGAGAAGCGCAGCGAGGTCAAGGACAAGAAGCCCACACTCCCCTACACCTCCAGCCCATGCTTCCCTGAGCAGGCGGCCTGCGCCTACCCCACAACCAGGGTTGACAGCACAGGGATCTGGATCCTGCAGCATTGGTATGAGGGCGCCCCAAGGCCAACTCATTGGGCGGACGACCCATACGACCTGCCGGATTCCTACTGGCATCGTCCGCCGAGATCGGCCAATCCTCCCCAACGGGGTCAGGGGAGGGCCGTACACTACGACTTGCACCACCTCCAGAAAGGACAGCGCACGCTGTGTACTCAGGTCTTGCGGCCTTCAACCCGGACAGGGTGTACGAAGCTGAGCAGGTAAGCATCAAACCAAACGACCTGCACCTGCCGGACGCGACACATCCGCGGCACCCGCAACAAAGTCTGCACGGAGAGTCTTTGCCAAGCGGGAGAGCCAGGTCAAGGCGCCCCCGCAAAGCGTACTCGACCAGGCAGCTGCGGATCGCGCTGCGTTGAAGGCCATACCCCCTCCGCCGTTGAGGGCACCACCTGCACCCCCAGCACCAACTGGCCGGTCATTAAGGACATGCTTTTTATGCCTTTTTGTTTGGTGCTTTTTTTGGACCGAAAACCTTGTTTTTTCGCGTGCGCGTTCTTTATCAAAACAATCCGTTTTTCGGAAGTGTTTTTTTTGCCGAAAATCTTGGGGAGGGAGGGGGGGAGGGGGGAGGGGGGGAAGAATTTTGGGATGCGCTCTTACTCCAAGGTGGCTTGAACTTGACTTGCGTTGCTGCATGGCCAAAAGGACCCCAAAGAAGAAAGTCAAGAGGGAAGGGGCGGGATCCGCTTGGGCAGAAACATGCAGCAGGGGAACTTGGCAGCCTACTGGTTACAATCGTTGGCCACCTTAGCAGCCGATAAGCAAGAAGCAAAAGGCCGTGAACGCGCAGCTGCTCTCTTTTTTTCCGGCATTGCCCCATGCCAATGGAAAAGAGATACAGCTGGACAGCGCCAGTGAGACCCCGTCATATGGCAGCTGCCAGGTTTGCCTCAGGCACTGGCGCTGGCTGCTTTCGCCTCAAAACAAACTGCGCGAGCGCAGTTTGTCATAAGCGCAAGCTGGTCCAACTTGCTGTTTAAATCACGCAGGGCCTCTTCAAGCCGCGCGTTCTTTTCAGCTGCTTCACGGAATTTCTGCTCAGCCTGGCGGAGACGGTCACACCAGTCCCGTGCACCCATGGTAGTGCTTTTGGTCCAGAAATCTAATTCTTTCTTCATGGAGTCATTGTCCAGCCGCAGCCGATCTACTTCAGCAAGCAACTCATCATGGTTTTGGAGATTCAATAGTTCTTCCTTGGTGAGTCGCACACGGATGTTGCAGCGCCGGCTGTTCTCGTACCTGGCCCAGTGCAGTTTGCAAAGATGTTTTGGGCAGGCTCAAGAACACAGTTGAAGAGATAATAAAACACATACTTCAATTATTGACTGAACTGTTATTCCAAGCTGCCGTCTCTTAGTTGTAGTTTTGACATTCACGGGGTCGGCCTGCAGCTTCTTGGTGTTCTTCATCTCCCCCAGCTCGCTCTTTCTCACAACCATGACACGCCCCCTTTGGCAACGGCGACGTGAAGTCAGGCGGCTGGAGCTTGACAAAGAAAGTAGCGAGAGTCCACCCCCTGCCCAGATCTTTTCAATGCTGGCCCATAAGAGTTTGTCAATGGTTGAAAGGTTCAACTACCGGCAAGTCAAGCTTTAGATCCCCAAAAAACAAAAAAGTCCAACTTGCACAAAGTATTCAAGCGCCACAAGAAAAAACTACCCGTTCGGGCCTCGAAGAACCGTTCCATTCGGGCACTGGGCTCGGGCCCGAAAAAGTCATTCCATTCGGGCCCCGAAAAGATGGCTGGTGGACACAAATGTGCAGATTGAAACGGTGGCCTCAAAGAGCCCCTGGAGAAACATCCACAGCCAAGAGCCCCGGGCCCCGAAAAGTTGTTCGATTTGGGCCCCGATTCGGGCCCCGAAAAGCTGTTCCATTCGGGTCCCGGATTCGGCCCCCGAAAAGTCGTATACCATTCGGGCCTCGAAAAGAAGGCTGGTGAACACAAATGTGCAGATTGAAACGGTGGCCTCCAAAGAGCCCCCAGAGAAACATGCGCAGCCAAGAGCCCCGGGCCTCGAAAAGTTGTTCGATTATAGGGCCCTGATTCGGGCCCCGAAACGCTGTTCCATTCGGGTCCCGGATTCGGGCCCCGAAAAGTCGTATACCATTCGGGCCCCGAAAAGATGGCTGGTGGACACAAAAACGGTGGCCTCCAAAGAACCCCTAGAGAAACATGCACAGCCAAGAGCCCCGGGCCTCGAAAAGTTGTTCGATTCGGGCCCTGATTCGGGCCCCGAAACGCTGTTCCATTCGGGTCCCGGATTCGGGCCCCGAAAAGTCGTATACCATTCGGGCCCCGAAAGAATGGCTGGTGGACACAAATGTGCAGATTGAAACGGTGGCCTCCAAAGAGCCCCTGGAGAAACATCCACAGCCAAGAGCCCCGGGCCGCAAAAAGTTGTTCGATTCGGGCCCCGATTCGGGCCCCGAAAAGCTGTTCCATTCGGGTCCCGGATTTCGGCCCCGAAAAGGGCCACGATTCGGGCTCCGAAAAGTCATACCATTCGGGTCCCGGATTCCGGCCCCGAAAAGATGTTCCATTTGGGCCCCGGGTTCAGGCTCTAAATTGTTTTCAAGCTGGAAAAACTCTCCGTGTTGGCTCCGAAGACTTGTTCAAAGTTTGGGCCGGGTTCAGGCCCCGAAGTTGCCACAGAGGGAGCAGGGGACAGTGGCGCAATGGCAGCGTGCCCGGACTAACCTGTGGATGCCACAGGTTAGGTAGGGAGGTCGCGGGTTCAAATCCCGCCTGCCCCCATCTTTTGCGCAGAGTGACCCTCGGGGGGCTTCAACAATTCAATTGCCGAAAGGAGCTCTGGCGCCTCTGGCAGGCATGGCTGGCCTTGTGATGTGGAAGGTCTGAGAAACACATGAACACGCAGTGGCTGTTGAAACTCACGCGGGATCCTTTTTCACACTCTCAGCTTTCCCCGCGACATGTCAATTGCATGTCTCCCCGACCATGTTGCTACTAAGAAGCAAGCAGCAATTGCAGCTTGCAAAAACCACCGTTTGGGAAAACAGCAAGGCATCCAACTGCGGGGGCGCAGTTGTTTGAACACCTGATCCAATCTGTACTGGAGTCAAAGTCGATCAGGGCTGAACTGCTCCCAAGCCAGTGTTGTTTGGCTTCCGGAAGAGGCATCCTCGGGGGATGGCTCAGTTGTTGCATCGCAGCTGGGCGAGACATCAGGTTGCTCGGAATCTTTCTTCTGCTGCCACTTCCTTGCCAGGACCTGGGCCTCTGCCCAAGCCACTGCGACAAGCCCTGGCATAACTCGCTCACTCAGTGGCAAATCGTCGGCACTCCCCACGTAGAACTTCATCCCGAAGCCAAACTTCTGTGATTGTCCAAGGCCTTTCACCACAAAGCTTGAGTTGTCCAGCTTAACCATAATCTTGCAGCATCCTGCAGGCTTGACCGTGTAGGAATGGTTGCCAACAGGCGGTGTCTCAGGCATGGCATCCGCAGGTAAATGGAGGAGCGTGGGGTAATACTTCATCAAAATGTTTCCAAGCCGCTCCTTCTGGTGCAGAATGCTCCGCAAGTCTGGGTGGCTAAGCTCGTCCCAGTCCCCCGACTCATCACGCTTGCGTTTCCGCTCTGCGCGAAGGTCAGCCCGACTGCCGAAAATCACCGTGCTCTCGTGTTCAGACGACATGTTTGGAAACCTTCGGCAAAACTCGGGCCTTAATGACTGCGGCGATGCAAGTCAAGGGC